TTAATATTTTTTATAAAATTTCATATTTTAAAGAGATTTCTTATGCTTACAGGGACGTACGTAAAGTGGGGGTTATGAGAAAAGGGTCTAATCTGAAATGATTACTTTCCTGAGTTTTTTTAACTTTAACAAGAAAATGTATAAATTAACCAACATCCCTAATACATAACACCATTAAATGGAGGATATATATAATTTGTCACACCTCGAAGTATTTCCCAAAAACTCCATAAAGTATAAGCAAGAAATTCCAGTGCTTTTATAGACAGTAAAATACTTCCAGGTCTTCAAAACAGCAGCAGGGAACAGATCCAGGGATCCACGTATTTTAATGGCAGTAGAAGATCTCCAGGTGTTCTAAAACTCCAAAAACTCCATAAAGTATTAGCTTAAAATTCCAATGCCTTAATAGACAATAAAATAATTCCAGGTCTTCAAAACAGCAGCAGAAAAAAACCTCCAGGGCTCCACGTATTTTAATGGCAGTAGAAGATCTCCAGGTGTTCAAGAAACAATGTGAGGCTTCCTGGCCTTTTGATGGCAGTGGAAGACCTTCAGATCTTCAAAAGGCAGTAGAAGGTTTCTTTGTCTTCTTTAAAAGCTGTATGAGACTTCCTGGTTTTCTTATGGTTGTAGAAGACCTCCTTGTCGCCTATAGCAGAAGAACTCCTCTAAACCCACAACCCACATTTATATGGGACGAAAGTCTCTGTTTTTTTTTTTGGAAAAACTTCTACCCGAAATTCCCTGAAATGGTTTCATTTTCTCTAAATATTTAGTTTGAACTATTTGAAATTTAGCACAGCCGGTTATGTTATTCTTAGGATGTTTAGGTATAGCCACCATCCTTCGACCTGACTCTCTGTATTTTAAAGATTTCTGGTTCAATTTCCAGTCGATGTAGGTCCTCCTTTTGCTTCCTCCTGATTTTCGGTATGTTGATGGTTTCTGGCCCAATATCTAACCAAATCAGCTTTAATTTGGTATTGCTGTTATTTGTGGATAAACTAGCCTTATTAATAAAATATTCAATATAGATTACCGCACCCCCCCATGTTAGGAAATCTCCAAACTTTAGGGAATTTAAGAATATCCGATCTGGTTTTCATATCTTATCACGAATTTCGTCCCGTCCGCACTTATTTCATTTTGAGCTTTGTATTTAGGAATAATTGATTGGATTGTGTTCAAAAAATATTTGAGAGAAAGAGGATGTTCTCTTTTTTTCTATCCAAGAGAGGATAGACTTTCCAGACTTTCATTCCAGGATTCGGTCGGATTCGTTCTATTTTCAGAAGTCATTACTACAAATTGCTACATTTTTCATAGGTCCACAAAACATATGGCCTCAGACTGATATTTAAACACCTACTTTGGCCTTCAAGCCAACTATTATTTGAGATACTTAGCCTCTAAGCCGCCATTATGCTGGCTTGATTTGACTTCATTTCATCTTATGAGATAACTAAGTTGAGTTTACAAATTAACACTTTTATTACACGCTTACATAAGTTACACCAGACTTTTCTATTTTGGCATGGTCTCCAAAACAAGGTGACGGAACTTTATTTATTTCTGTTATTGTTGTATTGTTTTAATAAATTTAAGTTTATTTAAATAATGAATAGAGTGAGACTAAAATTTAGGCAATGTCTTTTGTGTGTGTTATTATGGGAACAAAAAAAGTAGTTGCGTATTTCCACTCCTAATCTGAACTGATTCCATTGAAATCTTCGATAATTTAGTGGAGCAAAGTCACAGAAGACAAAAACCCTCCTGGGTGGGGTCTGGCTTTGTTTTTCTGTTTATGTTTCCAAGTTAAACCGCGAAATGCATTAAAATTATTCACAATAAAATCTCGGAGGTGTTGTGTGCTCACCACTGTGGATGTTAAAAACCTCTCCCAGCCAAGGTGTTGAAGATGGGTGTGTTATTAATTTCGGGTTTAAGGCCAACAAAGACGACATGCAACCTCTTTTCAAAACAACAGAAAACAAAAGCCAAGTGATGGCTGTGACGAAAAGCAACAAACCTTATAATAGCTTTGATATGCCATATTCGGTTGGTGGTGTTTTAATCTTTTTTTATTATTTTTTTTTTTGGAGGAGCACAGATTATTCACATGATGGGTAACTTGGGTTTGTAATGCAAATTGGATTTTGGAAATAAAGAGGTTTGAATTGCCTGCATGCCTTTCACTTGGTTTCAGTTTTGAGTTTAAATCCATTGCATGTCTTCTTGCTAATCAGGAAGAGTTCCAATTGAATAAGCCAACTGCCAAGCCTTTAAGTCAGCCAGCCAGCACAGAGAAGTGACGCATTTTTCATGTAAAGAGTTATTATTACAGCATGGAATTTATACAGCCGTTGAGGTTTGCGTTCAGCAGCTACAAAACTTTTTCGAATAATACAATGAAAACCACCAGCACAGCACACACATACAGGGTGGGATGAATAAACTGCAACCAATTTCAGATTGCTGTAATTTTCAAACCACTCGTCCGACAGCTATTAAAATTATTCCAGTGACAGCTCATTATATTGTTTACAAGGGTACCAAAGCATTTTGGTGAGAATTTCCCAGAAAAAAAGTTATTCGTGATGGAATTGCAGCGTGATAGTGTGATTTCTTTATATTTGGCTGGAAAACCAGAAGTGGCTATCGTTAGAGCACTCCAGCATTTAAATGTGAATAAATCTTTTGTGTCTCGTACCATCACTCGTACCGCACCGTGATACTCGTAGCGTAGCCCAACGTCATGAAGAGGGAAGTGGACGGAAGAAAACAGCAACATCAGCAGAAATGGTTCCGAAGCGCTTGGCAAAGAAGCTACTTGATCGAAACCCGCGTCGCAGTGGCCGAAAAATGTCTCGTGAGCTGAACATATCGCAATATTCCATTCGGCAAATATTGAAAAATGAGCTCGCGGTAAAGCCCTTGAAATACCAAAAAGTGTAAGAACTTACACCGCAACAGAAAGAAAATAGACTCAAAAGAGCTAAAGAGTTGCTTCGCCGAAAGTGGTGAAATGCCGAATTTGGTTTTCTCCGATGAGAAAATATTCGTTGTCCAGCTGTTTGTAACAAACAAAATGATCGGGTTTATTTGCCAAAGAGGTCGGCTGAAAATGTGAACCTTCGAGCACCTTGGCCTTCAAGCGACCATGCCGGCCATGGTGGTGTGGGCCGCCATACAGATGATGCTCTCGTACTAATCGACCGTGGGATCAGAATAAATGCCGAATATTATCGCGAAAATATTCTGGAGGGTGTATTAAAGTCTTGGGAACGCAAACCTTGGACATTCCAACAGGACTCATCACCATCGCACTCAGCACGCGCCACCCAAGAATGCTTACAAAATAAGGTTCCTCGCTTCATTTCCAGCTCCTAATGGCTACCAAAATCTCCGGATACCAATCTGGCTCCACCCAAGAATGGTTACAAAATGAGGTTCCTCGCTTCATTTCCAACTCACAATGGCTATCAAAATCTCCGGATACCAATCTGGAGTATTTTTGAAAGGAAGGTTGGCACTAAGAAATACCAAAGTGTCGATCACCTCAAGCAAGCTCTTCGCCGGGAATGAGCCAAAATACCGCAGAGCAACATTCGGGCAGCGTGTGACGGTTTCATTGGCCGTTTGAAGGCCATAATTCGTGCTAATTCGAACAAATCTAAACTTATTCTGAAATTTGATGCCACTTCCGACATTTTTTGCTTTCATTCAATAAAATTTGAAAAAAATGTAAAAATATGGCGTTTGACTTTGTTGTTGTTTTTTTATAGGTCACCCTGTATATAAAAATTCCACACAGAGAAATGCCTTACGATTTAGTCATCAAAGCCAGTCAGCGAACACAGTAACAGAAACAACACCAAACAAAACTGAGATTGGCGAATAAAACAACGTCATACCTGGCTCTAGCTTTGGATATCTAGGAAATATTCACAGCAGAATTCACAGCAATAGCAATAAAATGAAATTTGTTGTTCTTCTCCAAAAAAAAAAAAAAAACATAGAAATCAGATTTGGTGATGATTTCAAACCAAGATACCTTGAATATCTTTTTTCTAAAACAAAGTTATTGTTGTTGGTGTTTTTTCACACACCACACAAATCTAGCTTCCAAAAATGGTGTTTTTATTTGGGGAGCTTGGGAAAAAGAAGAATATTAAATTGTGAACCAAGATCACGCTGACACACTGACAGGCCATTTTTCTGCAGACCTCCCATTAAATGTTCGCCTTTTTTTATTGCATAGAACAAGTTTGTTTTAATGTGCAGGCAGCCAGGCTGGCAGGTATTTAGCAGTGGGTTAATTGTTTTTGTTATAGTTTATTTAGTTTTTTGCTTATTTAGACCCGCAAACTACTTTCGTTGGCTGGTTGGCTGGCCATTCACACAGCTGAGCACAGCACAGCACTTCGCGTAGCAAGTTCACTGAATGATGATTATCTGTAACGGGTTTCAATAAAAAGCGAAATTTAATTTCCATTTCAATTGTTTTGTATTTTTTTTGGTTTGTTTCTTTCGTTGCTATATATTTTTGTATGCATGCGTGTGTATGTGTGTTTTACTATATTTCACTATTGCAAATCAGTCAGTCAGCCAGCCAGTCACATAAACACAATTTGTTTTTTTTTTTAACTTTTGATTTGAACACTTCGAAATTCAAATTATGCAGATTAACATGTATTCTCGGGTATTTGTTTTTGTTTGCCTTGTGAGACATTAGACATCAGCAGGAACAACAACAACACTATCATCAAAATGTACAAAATGGTAGCAATGGTAGCGACGGCATACCTATTAGTTGAATGTACATTTAATTATAAGCATTTTCAGTTAGCAGTTGGCTGGAGCTGGCGGTATGACATGCTGACGACGATGATGATGATGAGTTGTAAACGTCATGACCGTGTACGTTTCAACGTCGTAGATGATGATGATGATGTCGGTGGATACTGGTGTTGAAAATGCTATAAATATTTTCTCACTGTTTTATATTTTTATAATTTTCAGCCAGGTTATACGCACTTTGACTTTTGACGTATCCAAAGTAACATAAACAACAACAACAACAAAACACTCAAATCGAATGGAAATCAGAAAACAATGAAATGCGCCTTCGAGTGAAAACAAAAGACTTAAGACACGAACGCGCACACACTCGTTGAACACTTCTGCTGAATCTACGACCGACCGTCACTCGCCGCGGTTTTCTAAGCAACTAAATCAGATGTTCGTCAGCCATGCTGGACATAGCGTTGAACAGCCAACAGCTACGTGGGAAAAAAGAGCCAAGTTGTTGTACAAGAATAAGCAAGCTTTCTTCTCATGGCTCTCTGTGTGTCTGTGCCATAGCCAGACAAAAGAAAAGCTTTATTTCTCTAAGACTTGTTTCTCTCCCTAACTCTCTCTCTTCCCTTGGCCAATTCATTTGTTTGTTTAAATTTGAATAATATTTGAAAATTTTCATTGTTTTAATTTCGGTTTTTTTTCTGTAACGGTTGTTAAAATGTGTTCATTATTGTTTTTATTGGAAGCTCGTTATGCGATTAAGTGTGGCCATTTTAAAGAACTTTCTCCTGAATTTATCATTTAGCTTAGAAGTAGCAGGTATTCCAAATACCCATAACTGTTTTTTCTTCTTGGCAGAGGTTTTCTTTATAAATCAGTAGCATCATCATAATGCGTTTGAAAACGAACTTGAAATTATCCATTTGCAATTAATAAATCGGGTTTTAAAGGTCTTGATTTCTATTTTTTTTAAATCTATGTTTTTTGTTGTGACTCAAAGCAGTGGCAGGTCCTGAGAAAAAGTAAAATAGTTTATTGGCAAAAATAATTAATGCTAGAATTAAATATTGTTTTGGACCATGTTCTAACACTACACCGACAACAGAGAGCAGAAATATTTAAGGAATCTGAGAAGATTGTGTTCTTAAAATATGAGGAAGAAGTTTTTTATGAAAAACTTGCGACGATAAAGATACAACAAAACAATAACAACAAGTAAAAAAGCAGTAAGTTCGTCTGGGCCTCCACCATTTGGAACGAATTTTAAAATTTTCAAAATGATAAAATCAGTTTAAAATCTTAACAAGTTAAAAAGCTTTAAGTTCGGCCAGGCCGAATTTTGAAGATCCTTCTCCATTTGGAACGAATTTGGAAATTTTCAAAAAATAAAATCCATTTAAAATTCTGTCAAAATCTTAAAAATACCTGCTATAGCCGTTATGTTGGGGTCTATGCGAATACGTGGACCTACATAGGCAACTTTTGTCAAAAGCCATTACAATATTCAAATAAGAAACTTGAGAAAAAAATCCGGTGAATAATGTAGCTAAAATCATCAAAATACCGAATATTGGGAGGTTCCCTTATGTCAAGGCTATATGAAGACCTGGACCTGCAATTTTCTGTCACAGGCTGTAGTATCCATTAGGAACATCAAATAAGAATTTCGGTAAATATTGTACCTAAAATCGTTAAAATATCAAATATAGGAAGGTACTGATATATGGGGCCTATACGAAGACCTGGATCTGCATAGACAATTGCGAACTCGAAATTTGAAACAACTCCAGTGAATAATGTCGCTAAAATAACCAAAATACCGAATATCTGGGAGTACCCGTATGTCGAGGCTATACGAAGACCTGGACCTGCATAGACAATTTTCTGTCACAAGCTGTAGTACGTATTAGGGACTTTAAATACGAAATTTCAAACAACTTCGCTGAATATTGTTCCTTAAATCGTCAAAATATTGAATATTGGGAGGTACTGACATATGGGGCCTATACGAAGACCTGGATCTGTATAGAGTTTTTCTGTCATAGACTGTAGTTCCCATTGCGTACTCGAAAGGTGAATACTGTCTGAAATCATCAAAATACCGAATATCGGGAGCACCGTTATATGGAGACTATACGATATCGTGGACCGGTATAGCCCATCTTCGAACTTGACCTGCCAGCAGAAAAAAGACTGATCTGTGCAAAATTTTAGCTTCCTATCTTTATTCGTTTTGACTCTAGCGTGATTACACCGGACGGACGGACAGACGGAAGGATGGACAGGGCCACGATAGAAGAATACAGGTAGTCGCATCGACACAGCTGCTGGGACAATGAACTGTCAGACCGATTTTGGAATTGAAAATTTTGAATGAAAAATTTTTGAAATTTGTAAAAACTCTTGAAAAATTCATATTATAACAACCTCTGATTTGCGTCGTATAAAAAAACATTTAAAAATGCACTTATTTTTCATAAAACATTTTAAAATTTTTGACATATCAATTTTCCCAAGCGTTGATGCATCTACCTATATTCTTCTACCATGGACAGGGCTAAATCGTCTCAGAATTTTAAGCTGAACAAAAATATATATACTTTGTTATGTCTAGAATTATTATTTGGATGAGTTACAAACGGAATAGCGAACTTAATATACCCACCATACTATGTATGTTGGAGGGTATAAAATAGGTCTAAAGAGTATTTGGACATTGGCCGCTAGCAGAACTGTTTAAGACCAATCGCAACTTTAATAGTTGTCTCCAAAGTCCCCAAAAGCTAAGGTGTCTGTAAAAATAATTCAATATTTGGCAGAGACTTCAAAATGGAATTCGAATGTGCAGATAAAGTAAAGTTTTTTTCGACTAAAAAAATTGGCTGCAACCTTCAATATCTCATAAATTAAAATTGTCTAGGTTCTACATTGAACTGAAAAAAATGGTAAATTGATAATTCGATTCGAAAGTGAATACGAAAATATAATACCCTTTTTTAATATTTTAAATTTAATTTTAACAAGTAAAAAACACTAAGTTCGGTCGGGCCAAACTTTTAATACCCTCCACCTTAGGGTAAAGGAAACATTAGAAGGAATGTGGCAAAAACCATTAAAATGCCGAATATCGGGAGGTACCGTTATATAGTGGGTTATACCAAATCGTGGACCTACACATGCAATGTTTCGCCAAAGAAGCTAGAACCCATTATGACCTACAAATACCAAAAATCATCAAATTACCGAATATAGGGAGGTACGGTTATATGGGGACTATAAAAACATTATGTCCAACAAATACCAATTTTTAGACAAATCCGTGAATAAATGTGGCAAAAAATTAAAATACCGAATATCGGGAGGTACCGTAATATGGGGGCTATACCAACACGTGGACCTATGCATGCAATGTTTTGTCACACGCACAGGGACCCGTTATGACCTACAAATACCAATTTTTAGACCAATCCGTGAAAAAATGTGGCATAAATCATCAAAATACCGAATATCGGGAGGTATTGTTATATGGGGACTATACCAAAACGTGGACCGATATATCTCATTTTCAATACCAACCATCCTACCAACACAATACAAATTGCAGACAGAAAGATGGACATCGTTAAATCGACTTAGAAGTTTATGCTGATTATGAATCTATATACTTTATGGGGTCTACGACGAATATTTAAGGAGGTTACAAACGGAATGAAAAAGTTAATATACCCTCCTATCCAAGGTGGAGGGTATAAAAATGCACTTGGATGGAGGTTTCCTTTCTAGAAACAGACTCTTAATTCGAATAAAAACTCAGTGTCATCTATTGGAGCATTTTAATGTAACGGTTTTCGGTGATTGTCTTCACTGTATTCCTTTCCAACTATCAACAGGGCGAGTCATAATTTTACTAATATTTGGGCTTTATGCTGCCTTAAAGTATGCAACATCTTAGCATTTTTTGCGCCACCACAATTAACAACAGGGGATGTAGTCGTAAGAGATTAATTCAACCGCAAATATTGGAATGTTGAACATGTTACCAAATTTGTGGAAAAAATATTTTGAAAAATGTACGTAATTGTATTGGAACAAGTAAAATATTATCAGTCGGTTTTGCCGACAGATATATGCCCCTAGCGTTGAGTTATGATTATTCAAACTCTTGACTTGACGTTGAAAATTTTGAAAAGATTTGGTCCAAGAAAACTTAGGTTCTAAAACCATTATTTCGATGGGGCACTTTTGGCCGCATCAAATGATATATACCCTCTGTAGCAATATGGCTGAGGCTATAACATTGAGATTGAGATTCATTTAATGGGAGAGTAATGCGAAATTTTTAGTGACAATCATGTGTGCTGTAAGTTAGATCTGAGTTAAGTGTGGCAAGAGGCACATTCCAATATTTCTATCATTACATGATCTGGTGTGAAAATGGAATATATCGAGCCAGTCATTGTGGTACTTCCCCCAAAACGGGTCATCATTTTGAATAATATAACTCTCATTAAATGCAAAATAAGCATCCAAATCTCTTCAAATTCACAACATTTTTTCCATAATTTTTAATAACACAAGATCTGGTGTTAAATTGACAGTTATCAACTCGCCCCTTCTGGTACCGCCCCCACAAAGGGTAACATACTTGTCTATATCACAAATTTCAATACATATATCTTATTTCACATTTCAACATTTTCCCAGTCGATATAGTAGTCCCATAGCGACTCTTGTATATCGTTCCATACTTCCAACTATCATTCTCCAGTTTTAATTTTGAAATAATTGAGATATTTTGATTCTGTATTTCAGGTTGATGCATTGAGGATTTCAACTCGGTAAGTGATGAACAAATTGAAATTATTGTGAAATGTCCGTCTAAATGGGATTGAATTCTTTTTAAAATGTCCTATTGTGTTTATAACGCCGCAAGCCCCCTCCCTCCTCCTTCATCGTGTCCCATGACAAAACAAAAACTGCATTTCTGGGTTTTAATTTACTAAATTTTGGTTTTGTTTTTGTTGTTGTTGTTTTTTTTATTATTTACTATAACATTTTTTATTATCTTTTTACATAAAATTAAGTTAAAATAGTTTTAATTGCATTTTACTTTTTGTTTTGTGTTTTTTTGTTTTTTGTTTTTGTTGTTTCATTTTATTATTTATTACCTAGAATTACTACTCGAATATTAATTGATTCAAAAAGTTGCCTAAGTTTCAAATATTACAAAATTGTTGTTATCATCTTTTTTGTTGTTTGTTTCATTTGTTGATCTTTTGTGTTTCCTTTTTGTTTTGTTTTTGTTGGGGTGGTGTTTTGTTTTTGGATTTTGGTTTTTTTATTTGTTTTGTTTGGTTTTTACTGCTTAAGAGTAAATAGTTATCACTTCACGCCCGCCTCCTCGCACCATTAGCACCTTTTCCAGTCCTTCTGTCAGAACTTCCATAAATTCCATATCTGTGAACGAAACAAAAAAAATGCAAAACGCAAACGGAAAGAGTTAAGGAAAACCATTTCGGTGGCTGACATTGGAAATGCTGGAATAAATAGAGAGAGAAAGAGAAATAGGTTTGCAAATAATAACGAATGGCCTAGACATGTTTGAACGGACCAGGGTCGGGAGTCTTGTCCACAAGTTAATGCCCCGAATGTTATCAGGGTCGGGAGTTTTGTTCACAAATTAATACCCCGAATGTTACATTTAAATGTAAAAATGTTGAGGTATGTAATTTTACCCAATGAAAACTCCGTTCCAGAACCAGCAAGAATCTACTACTTTACCATTTTTAAATTTTTCTAAAAATCCTGTACTAAAAGACCCCATAAAGTATATATGTTCATAATCAGCATAAAATTCTAAGGCATTTAACGATATCCGTCTGTCTGTCTGTCCGTCTGTTATTTAACGGACGAGATATATCGGTCCACGTTTTAGGATAGCCGCCATATAACAGTACCTCCCGATATTCTGTATTTTGATGATTTTCGCCACATTTTTCACGGATTCTAATGGGTTCTAGCTCCGGTGGCGAGACATATAACGATACCTCCCGATACTCGGTAGTTTAATGATTTTCGCCACATTTTTACCCGGATTTGTGTAAAATTTGGTATTTGCATGACTAGCTCCGGTGGCGAAACATTGTATGTATACGTCTACATTTTTATATAACCCCCACATAACGGTACCTCCCAATATTCGGTATTTTAAAGATTTTTACAACATTTTTCCACGGATTTGTCTAAAAATTGGTGTTTGTAGTTCGTAATGGGTTCTAGCTCCGCTAACGGAACATTGAAAAATTAGGTCCACGTTTTCGTATAGCCTCCACATAATGGTACCTCCAGATATTCAGTATTTTACTGATTTATTTCACATTTTTCCACGGATTTGTCTAAAAATTGCTATTTTTAGTTCATAATGGGTTCTATCTCCGGCGACAGAACATTGAAAATTTAGGTCTACGTTTTCCTATAGCGCATATATAACGAATATTCAAAATTTTGACCCTTTTTGGTGGAGGTACCAGAAGAAGTGAACCAATATATCCCATCTTCAGCAGATCTTGTGTTAGTGGAAATAATGGGATGTGCGAAATATGAAGAAAATCGGACTCTAAAATCACATTTTATAAAAGTTATAATTATTCAAAATTTTGACCCTTTGTGGGGGAGGTACTTGATGGAGTGGGTCGATATCGTTCATTTTCGCAGCTAACGTAGCACTGATGCAAATATTGGGATTCGCAAAGTTGGAACAAAATCGGATTATTCTTTCTCTTTCTGTGCAGTAAATTATATGCTTTGAAAGTGTTGATATTTTGTGTGGGAGGTACCAGAAGGAGTGGACCTATATTGTCCATCTCGGAACTCGATCTAAGTTTGGCAATAATATTGCGATTTACCAAGTTTGGATCAAATCGGATACTCCCTTCGAGAGTTACCGTGTGTACTAGCCAGCCAGGCGGACAGATGGACGGACGGACATGGCTAGATCGACTCCAAATGTTCTGAAACGGATTTGGTGCAAAGGAATCTAGGGTGTAAACCCGTTAATTTTATGAGTCACGTTTTGGCCTTATCAAATAAAATATACCCTCTCTAGCCATGTGGCTGAGGGTATAAAAATTCAAAGCGTATATCTCAACTCTTTTTTTGACAAAATAAATCGTCATACTCTCATGATTCTACATTTGTTCCGACAACACATGTCTTGCCATCTTTCGTTATTGTTTTCTTTTTTTCTTGAATTTTGTGAAATTCTTTAGTCGTTTTGAAAAGGATGCAATTATTTTCACGAGCTGAATTAACTTCCTTGGGTGGACCAGGTAAATTCATAATAACCAATTGGGCATCTTGTGATTTATTTACAATAACTTCGTTAAGTTTAACAGCCGTATGCATCCGACGAACGTTCATTTCATCGCTGGAAAAGAAGGGAGGAAAAAATAAATTTTAAATAAATTCCAAAACAGTGGTCAGCTCTCAAGACGTACGGTTTCTTTTCAACGTAGCTATCGTTGTTTGAATCTTCATCGTCGTCATCGTTTTGCCGGTTGTCACCATTCGCCTCGTAGGCTTTGCTGATGTTGTTCTCATCGTCCTTAGATTCCTGTGACCAAAAACACAAAACAAAAGACAAGAAAATGAAAAACATCAACATTAGTTAGGTAATGGAGGCGGGGTCTTCTTTTGTTTAAATTTCAATAAAAATAAATTTTGATAATTTTTTTGGAAAACTGACATTTTCGTGTTTTTCTTCTACTGTGGGATCAGCGAATCGCACTTTGGATGAGGTTTTCATACTTTCATGATGATGATCGATTATTGTTTGTACCTATAAAATTAAACAAAAGTAGGAAATTATAAACAAATCATTTTTGTTGTTGTTAAGGTGCATTTGTTTCACATTTCTCTTTTTTTTTGTTTTTGAACATAACAAATAGAAGAGAGAGATAGTATAGATTATAAGAGAGAGAGAAAGAGAAAATCGAATCAAACTATAAACTAATTTTGGGAAATAAAACGAAAACTAAAGACTATCTCATCAACAAAGCTTTAAATAAACAAACAATTCTCCATAACATTATTGATTATTTGTTGTAAATTAAACTTGTGTGCATTAAATCATACATACATACATAAATACTTTATAAATAATTATTTAATTAACTAAGGATTGGTCATATTTATAAATAATTTTGTTGTCCAATTAAACGAAATTAATTAAACTAAATTAATTGTTCCTAAAGTAATTTGGGGTCCTCAAATTAACCGAATAATGTGAGTTCATTTAGGTTTCAATTCAGTGGGTAATCCTTTGTGTGCTCTTTTAGTTAAAAAATCAATCCTTAAACTACTGCAATCCAAATCGAGACAGATGCCATCATTTTAGTAAAGCTTGATATAACACATTCCGCTTATTTTTAAGAATATCGAATTTTAGTGTAAGTTTCAAGGATAAATTGGCAATTAGTGCTTGAAAAAAATATTCACTCATTGGGCGGAGCTGCAGAAGGCAAACAGAAAAATACCTAAAAAGCGTTTTTTCTCTCAAAAGCACATTCCAAAGCAATGCTGTACAAAATCCTACGTTAGCCTATGTTTTTGTCGAACGCTCGTTCTCTTACGACGCTAATTATTGAAACTTCGATTAACAGAAAATTTTCTAATATTTGTTAAATTATCTTTCAATCAGTGAAAAAAATAAAGCAAACCTTTTGGTTTGGTTCTATAAATTATTTAAGAGAAGTTTGTTCTTTCTCGTCGTGAGCCTCAATGTTCTAAGAATGCCACGAGAAAAACGTAATTTTTCTCTCATAAATCGATGATTGCCAATCAAATTCATCGAAGCTTTATAAATTTCTTTCTTCCTTAAAGTGACGGATATTGTTTATTACAATTGTTAAAGTATGTTTACATTAGAGTCTTTTTTCCGAATTAAACTCATTTATGAGTATTTATTTGAGTTATATTTAATGTAACATCCTCTAATGTGAACGTACTATGTTTAAACTAAAAAATAATTTTAAATTTATTTTAAAATAAAAAAAAAAAAACGTCCGAACAAAAAAACCATATATTTTTTTGATATATAAACATTGCTCACATGCCATTTCCTAATCTATGCCAGTGCAAAAGAGTGTATCCGCAGGATTGCCATACTAACTTGCGATTGAGTTTTATACCTAAAACTTATTTAAAATGTAAATAATCTGGATATATCTGCCATACATAGTTCCCTCTGATTTCATGTTACAATGGACCAAGTTGGAAATATCATCCGAAGAAAAATAAAATAAAATTTTATGACACAAGAGAGGAATGCTAGAAATTGGTCAAATTTTGTGAAATCAGTTCAGCTGATTGCTACAAGATGAGGAGCTACAAAAATTCACGGACAGCTTAGGAATACTCCTGCTAAATTCGCCGGAAACCGATTCAGATGAAGACATAGCTCCGAAGCTCATTTAAGTTCCGTCCGATATAAACCATACCAAATCCGTAAAAAATGCATGGTTTGGTTTAGCGATTCTGGAGTATTCCCTATCGTCTTAATTTCATATTGTCCTCTTTTCAAAAAGAAGAAAACATAGCAACGTTGCAAAATTTGCTTATCGCTACCAATATCATGACTTAATCTCGGTGAATAGGATGGTCACTCGGCTTTTTCAGCTTGTTGATATGAGACTTTGGTGAAAGTTATTATTTACCTTAAACCCCCTATAAACACAAAATTTGTTACGGAATCTTAAGACTTGATACGCGAGTGAGAGTGTTCGAAGTGTACGAGTTTTATACAAAGTTTACTCCTTCTCTTTCTATTTATGTGGGAGCACTCGCGATTTACTCATGTTTGAAATCGAGCGAAGAAAATTATTTCGTTCGCTGGTTTTATGACTATAAAAGCCAAGAAGGTAAAACGGTGGACTTAGTGTACAAAAACAACCAAAGCAAAAACATTATTATGTGCTTTGTAGGTACAAATTGGCGACATTGATCTTGCTTCTGCTACGTATGCAGGTGTGTATTGAGAAAATACACCTAGTTACGGAATGGCAGAAATTAAAAGACTATTCGGAACGATTAAAAACTGATATAATTCCAACGAATTTTACTCCCACTCGAACATGAGCAAAGCTTGCTCGCGTTCTTATCCCAGTGACATCAATAAATAGAGAATACTCGATTTATTTTTGCTACTCTTAGGGGGGCTCCAGCTCCACTACGAGTGAGTTTCACTGTCTATTCGTATTCGAGCAAGCTTTTCGGAGTTTATGATACAAAGTGGTGTAGAGAATCATATTTTCGAGCTTTCCCCACTTTTGTCCTTTCCTTCTTGTCTAATAGATTCGTGTTCGTTTATTTCATGAATATCATGAAACTCCTTATGGTTGTAGCCACCACTCGGGACCGGGGGCCAGAAATTTTTATATTGCAATACATATATTATATAAAGCTAGATTTCTGAACCTTGTTGACGCTCAAGAAGACAACTGATAAATTTTCTAACAAATTACGAAGGCAGGATTTTATTGGATTAACTAGTCTGGAATTTGTTCATGGGTTAGAAAGGTCCAGTGCTTCTGTTATGTCCTGCCAAAACGGTCAAAATTTTGGGCATGTAGTAGGAAAAATATCGATGGTCATTTAATTCGATGTTTTTGCGATATATTTATTGCTAAAGATCGATATTGTAAATACTCTTAGTAAAGTAGGAGAAATTCTTAAGATATAGCCTTGAATCAATTCTCCCAATTTTTGACAATGTTTTAGAAACTCTAAAAAAAGTTGTGAAAAATAATTTGAAGAAAAAAATTAAACCGGACAAGAATAAGATAACCTCCTTTTTTCACATTGATAAGTACACTCCTGTGTTTAATAAAGGAGATCATCATATTCCCTCATATCCTCTTTATTCAGTTTTTCTTGCAATTTTTCTTATATTTTTATTTATTTAGTGCCAGAGTTTTGCCCAGAATTGTTGAGAGGGCGGAGTTAAACAGTTTTTTTCAGGTTTTTTTCTCATGTAAAAAGTGTTCATTAACAATTTCCAACGTTTGGTCCTTTTGGATAATATCGAAATTGAAAACTATATATCCCTAAAGTGCAAGTTTTTGCAGGGTGCACCAAAAACAAATCCGTTGTTTTTTGTCATCACCAAAGCTCGTACGTCCGTACCTAGAAAAAAGGCATCAACACTTCTAGAAGCCCTATAAATAATTTTTGGTGTTTGATCTTTGCCATGACATTTTTATTAGAGTAATTATGGCTACTAAAATATTCATTATAACTTTTATACCGGCTAATAAAGATTTTCCTTAAATATATCAAATCGTATTACAAAATAAAAATCCTTCATGCGGCTACGTTTTATTTGCAAGACTAGTAGAAGTTCTATTTTGTTGTCAAAACGCAATTTTTTAAATCTGAAATGAATTCTTAAAATGATTTCTTTAAAACTTCTAACTTTTTTGATTGATTCCTCGTAGAAGAGGTTTGACAGCAAGAGAAGACTGTGGCTTGAGTTGGCCTTCTGTACGACCTTATTAAATTGAATTTACATACATTTATAAAGGGTACTATGCTAAAAAAAATCCATTAACTCCCAAAAAAAAAAAACATCCTTTGGATACACTCAGATCAGATTAAATAACACAACATACACAAACAGTTATAAAAATTTGCACAAATAAGTACAGCAAGAGAGTTTGACAGAGAGAGAGAGAGGAATATAGATAGGAAGAGAGAACCAACATTGAACAATAACTGACGGTTTTTGCATGATGTGTGAGAGAGAAAGAGAGATATAGAATCCCCATGGAAGTTATGAAATGTGATACATGGACGACAATAGACGGTAATGAGTGACAGACATGGGCAACCATTTCCGGTGACAGGGATGTAGAATGTTTTTGTAGAGATATGAAGGCATATGCAAAATGGTTTTAAAGTAATGATGATGAATGTTCGTTGCAAGAAGACAAATGGAGGAGACGATGATAAAAGTGTGTTGTCACATAACCACACTGCCACTAAAATGGCAGAAAGAGATTTATGAATGATGAGAGAGAAAAATGGAAAAATAAAATGTTTTAGTCATTGGCTAAAACTCAAGGCGGTGAAGATGGAGGTGTGTTGCTTGACAATAATGGATTGTTTATACAAATGATGTTTGGCAGAGTATGCTCCCCATTGATGGATGAATAAATAAATGAATGGATGTTGGGTTGACGATGTTGATAAAGATCCTGTGATGGAATGCTGCGAATGCACTGCTAAACACAACAACAACAAACAAACAAAACAAAAAAAGAACACGAACGGATTCTCTCTTTTTGAACATTTAGTGATGATGGCTGATGGACAGATGAACAGATGGACGAATGGATGGCATTGCTGTTGGTAGTAGTAACAAAAAGTGGTAGTAGTAGTAGTAGAAGAAGAAACAGAATTAGATTGTTTTTGTTTTGTTACCAAAGGTATTTTATCCTCCCCAGTTGTTGGTTTCTGGTCCATTTGCAATATTTTTGTCGTAAAGGATTTTTGTTTTGATATTTTTTGTTTTCGTTTTGATTTTGTAGTAGTGGTAGTTGTAGAAACACACATATATAGATGTTAGATTAATACAAACAAATAAATTTCATTTTGATTTTTTTTTTGGTATATAAAAAGAGAAGAGAGGGAGATACAAGAACAATTGGTGTTTTGAGGTGTCAAATGCTCAGTGTGTGTGTGTATGCGTGGGTGGGTAGGTGGTTGGTTGGTTGGTTGGGTGTTGTTGTAAACAAAATGAATACAAACTCAATGTCGAAAACCGAAAAAAAACAAGTAAATAAAAAATATGACACGCATATTTTGATCCAATGAGTTTTCGAGAGATACGACAAAATAAATATTTGAATAATGAATAAATAATAAATTAATTCAATTAAATGGATACCAACAGAAATTAAACAAATGTAATAATGGCATAATGCATGGGGGGAATGATCGTGGGGGTGTCGCGCAACGGTAGACAAGTAAAGTCTTTGGACACATTCAATCGGAAAAACATTTATCGACATTGAATTCACCCAAAATAATATTCCAATAAAATTATCTTATTTAGCAGAACAAATTCGATATGCAGATAAGATTCCTTGTTATCTATAATAGTAAGGTTCTTAGGTGTAAACATATAAATATATGATGCTAGCCTTATTTTCAATCTTGGGGTTTGACAAAGACTTTACTTTTTCAAACATTTGTCAATTTTCGTTTTTTGAAAGAATTTTGGTTTCGTTTCTTGGGCAATACATACAACTTTGGTTTTCTCTGTGCGATTCAATCGTAATTCACGTAACATTTGATTCCTTTGCTCCATCATCAAGGTACGCTCATAGGTATAAGCTGATATATCACTGTTCATCTGGAAATGACAAAAGAAAAAGAAAATACACAATATATTAGAAAGAAGAAATAAGATATATTTTTGGACAGAAAAATATTTCAACATCTTCGATTTGATTTGAATTATTTTTTTATTTTCCGTTAAAAAAGTTTTCAAAAATTGGCATATTTTCAATTTCATCTAATGCAGATAAAAATATTGGTATGTGCAAAATTTGAAGGAATCGAACATTTATATCCAATTTTATGCGAAAACAGAAATTCCGATAAATTACATATTCATATCAGATTTCGGGTTAAGGGAAATATTTAGATATAGCAAGTTGCAAAGAATGTCATGACAGATATAAGTATTGGAAATTGTAAGCCTTTGTGAGTATATCATCTTCACATGAGGAAATTCGAGCAGGTTGATGAATGAATTTAGATGCTTATTTCGCCTTCTTTGAGCGTTTTGTTTTTCAAAATCTTGAATCCTATGATGGGGAGGAAATTATTTTTTATTGAAAATGTTGACGTTTTGTGTGGGAGGTACCAGAAGGAGTGGACCGATGTTGGCCATCTTCGAACTCGATCTAAGCTTAACAATAATATTACAATGTACCAAGTTTGCATCAAATCGGATACTCCCTTCGAGAGTTATCGTGCGCACCAGGCAGCCAGACAGATAGACGGACGGACATCGCTAGATCGACTCCAAATGTCCTAAAAGTATTTGGGCGAAGAGACTTAGGGTCTAAAACCATTATAGACGAGGAGGGGTTCAAGTGATTGCAAGAAGACATTTTTTCCAACAAGAATTTGCAAGCTCTCAGTGAGAATTTTTCTCTCGAATTGCTGTCCCTTGCAGAACGACTTCCAGTAACAGCTGTTAACAATTGTTAAAAATCATTTTACTCACCATTTCGACAACTTCAACTTCTGCCTCAATTCGCAAATGATAAAGGAACGTTTTCAAATCTTTTTTCATTTGTATGGAATTGTCCTCCATCTGGGCAACGGTGAAGATGCGCAATTTACAGTTTCTCCAAGTGCGGTGTTGTTTCAACAAGAAAGGCAATAACATTAGAAGGCCACCATCGTGGACAATCCACCAAATATCGATGTTGCCTCCAATCTAAGGGGAAGAGAGAGAGAGAGAGAGAGAGAGAGAGAGAAAATTTAATAGAATAAGGAAACCAGATCCCCCTTTCGATGAGCTTACCTTGTGATTTGATTCGGGGAAAAAGTTAATACCCTTTGGCACCAACAAGGCCATGTGACAGGCGGCGACAGTGCGCACCGTTTGTATGAAGATCTTCCAACTTTGCACGCCATCCTTGCGCCAGCTGTAGGGCCAACCCACAATCACGGTGTTGGGTTTCATGCCACCCAGACCAATTGTTTGAACCCTAAAATTGGAGGTGATTTTATTATCACGTTCCTATTTTTATCTCACTTTCATCTCCCGACGGGAGGGTACTTACACTGAACTAATACCCTCACCGATTTCCTTGGCCACCAAGACATCGCAAAATCCTTTAACTTTCTCGTCGTCCATTAGCTTGCGCAGAGCCTGTTTGGCTTCTACGGCCCGTGAGCCGATCTTCGAATGATCACCCTGTATGACCGAGACACAAATGGTCAGACCCTTGCCAGCCTTCAGCTGGGTGGCAAAGGCAAACATTTTGCGATATTTGGGCATGAAATTGTCATTGAGTTTGGAGAGCACCAAAATCTGTGGACGCCAGTTCTTGGTGTGCTGGGGACCCTCATCCAGACGTAACAACGAATATCTGGCAGCGGTGAGAGCCATACCTCGGATGCCATCACCCCATTCCTTTTCGGCTCTAAGGGTGTGGACAATTCATTAGCAATGGCGACTAGCAATGGAATCTCTTGCAGTGGCCAACTTACCCTCGGTATTCAATGTATTTATAAATCACAACCGCCATTCCCATGGCAATTAAGGCAAAGTACCAGGATGTCATGAACATAACGGAGATACACAATGTAAGGCCAATAAGTGACAGAGACCAGTGATAGAACTTGAAACGTGGCCTCCAGTTGGGTGTACGCAACAGGGTCTGTACAGCACAGGCCAGGTTAACGAAGCCGTAGCACATCAGGAAAAACATGGACAACAAAGGCGCCAACAAGTCAACGTTACCTGATAGAGGGAGGGAGGGGAAGTGGAGAGGAATTAGATTTTAACTCCCGGTCAATTACTCCTGACCCTTACTTACCCAACAAAATGCCGCACTGGCAAATGCACAAAGTCAACAACAGGGCCCGTGTGGGCTCACCACGCTTGGACGATTTGGCAAATGGTGCCAGGAATGGTATAATCTCATCTCTGGCTATGGCCTGCAGCAGACGCGGGGCACCAGTTAAACTCTGTAGACCAGCTCCCAGAGTGGATAAGAATGAACCGATCAAGATGACCCATTGATTTGGCCAAGCAATGTTGGCTACAACCAATTTACCGCCAATGGATTGACCGAATCTGAAATTGAGAGCAATCGAAAAAATGAAAATCGGAAGTCAGAAATATATGTTTGAGGAAATCTAATGGAAAATCATAAATATCTGGCTTGAATGTTCGCTTCGAATATAATGTAAAATTTGTCGTACTTTTTCGAGCCGAACAGACAGACAGACGGAAAAAATCGACATAGAATTTTATTTATATTATTTATTCCGATATTATTAATCAGAATTGTTTCAAATTTCGTAGTTGAAGTTCAAAAGGGTACTACAACCTAACCCCCTTATAAGCGAAGGGGTTTCATTTGAGAGGTATTTTTCTACGAATTTTTTTGAAATTTGTGAAGTTCCTTCAAAATGGTTGAGGCTATTAAAAGTTCTGTCCGGACGAACTTAGCTTCTTTTTTACTCTTTGAACTTCCTGTCCCCTACCCCTCTTTTTCGATATCAACATTTCAAAAATATAATATTTTTTACACCACTCCATCATAGTCTATGTCCCGCACAGCTCTAGCTCTTCCCTCTTCTTAATTGTCTGTATTTTTCGCATCCCCCAGTACGAATTTCAATAAAGTCCTTCTGAAAACTTTTTGCAGAGCCACACAGTAAATGTCTATATATTTTTGTGTACAATTTGGACTTTTTAGCACAATTTAGTACTTTTTAGTACAATTTAGTACTTTTTAGTACAATTTAGTACTTTTTTAGTACAATTTAGTACTTTTTAGTACAATTTAGTATAATTTTCCAAAAATCCAGTCTCATAAAAGAAATATGGACTGAATGCAAAATCATTAGGAATTTTAGGAATTTATTTCGAGCTATCCTTCTCTGGGAATAATGACTTGTGAAAATTTATATTCCAGAACAAATACAGATTTGAAAATTTTTTATCATTGATCCCGGGTGAGACATAAATTGTAGAATTTTTTCAGAACTGTACAGTGCATCGCCTTAAAATTTAAAATATACACTTGGTAGGATATTTTGAGTCATTACAAAAGCATATCCTTTATCTTACTATAGAAGGATGGACTTACGCTGGCTTGGCCCAGGAGTCCAAGCCCGCTCCTAGATGTCTATATTGCTGGCATTTTTCTTAAATTTTATATAGAAAATATTTTTTTTTTCCAGTTGGGCATCTCCCTCGAAATGGCGTCGGAATGGATTCTTGTGTTCGTCGCAAAATTTAGGCAATATTACTTCGAATATTTAAGATTTTTTTGTAAATTTAATTTGAACCATGATCCTTATAGACCCATAAATTATACGCAGTAGCCTAATAATGCTATATCCCCAGTCAGGACCATTGTGGGTTTCACTGCTTGCATAGAAAACCATCTTAACTTTTCGATCCTGTTTTCAGTGGTAAACCTCACTTATTTCGCTTTACTCGAAACACGAATACATTTGAAATATCGCTAAGTTTTATTATTCTAGTGTTTTATTTTAATAATTCACTAATGGATTTGACCCTCCCTCCTCCACCCCTCCCTCTCGCACATACTTACTTGTCTCTTAGCAATAGATTGTCCACGGTACCGGCAAACAACAAAACACACGACAGGTACACCGAACTCGTGGTTAGAATGGCGCAGATTGTTCCAATGGGTATGCTCTTTTGGGCATCGGCCAAGTCACCTGATCTGTTTGAACCAGCCATAATGCCTAGTAATTAGTGAGGATATAGGAAAAAAAAAACCAAACAACAACAACAATATTAATTATATATCCATAAACAATCATGAAAAGATTTGAAACACATTTGGCCATTCAAATTAGCGGCTTTTTTTGGCCACTGCTAACCACAACTAATGGCCATAAAAAAATTCACTCCCACGAAATGGATTTAATTGAATTAGACCCTCCAACCCCATACTAACCTGTTACTGAGGGGAAGAAGATGCCAATGAGCAGGGTGAAAGAGGTGGTAATATCAGCCATAACTTGATTGTAGGTCGATGGAGCCATATTGTCAATGTCTGTTGCATTTTTGCCATAGGCAATGAATTGTCCAAGCTGGAATGGAGGAGGAAAGGGGAAAGAGAGTTGCAATACTTCGAGAGGGAATCATTCAACCAAATACTTACTTCCAAAAATGAGGGCATAATATTGTCATAGAATACACCGCTGGACAAACCTTTGATACCCTTGACCTTGGTCACATTGTGGGCTAAATGAGTGAGGGGCGGGAAATGGAAGAAAATTGGAAATTGTCATTGAACCATTTACGGGATTTCTTTTTTTTTCAGTGGTTAGTCTGACACTTACTCATGTAGTATTCATCGCATTTGCCATCTGGACAGAATAGATCGGAGAGCACAGTGTCTTCTTTGGTACAATTGTCGATGTGTATATCTTTGAGTAGACGATTTCCGAGCACGCACATGCTGTACAACAAAATCAACGTGTGGAATAGATTGGTGTGAAATTTTAGACAAATTTTGGGGAGATGTTTTTTTTTTTTGATTTTTAATTTTGTGAAAAATCAGATTTTTAAATGAAATTACAGACCCGCAAAACAAAGACCTGGGATTTATGGAGGGATAATAGTTCAAATATTTGAGGTATTTAGAAAAGAGAAATAAATTAATGTTGAAGGGTCAATATTTTAGTTTTTCGATTATTCTCTTCAACAAATAATCGACTCGTCTATCTCGTATGAAAATGAAAAGAGACCAAAACTCAAACACCGTTCTAGAGATGACTTTTACTTTTTAATATCCTCCACCATTCTATGGAGGGTATATAAGCTTTGTCATTCAGTTTGTAACTCCTTGAAATATTACGGATGGACCCAATAAAGTATATACAGGGTGATATGAAAAAACTGCAACCAACTTCAGACTGCTGTCATTTCTAAGCCACTCGTCCGACAGCTATTAAAATTATTCCAGTGACACCTGATTATATTGTTTGCAAGCGTACAAAAGCATTTTGGTGAGAATTTTCCAGAAGTACAGTTATTCGTGATGGAATTTAAGCGTGATAGTTGGATTTCTTTATATTTGGCAGGAAAACCACAAGGGGCTATCGATAGAGCACTCCAGAATTTAAATGGGAAAAGATCTCGTGCCACCGCTCGTTACAGTGATACTTCTAGCGTAGTCCGACGTCAAGGAAATGGGCGGAAGAAAACAGCAACATCAGCAGATGTGGTTCGAAAAGTAAAGAAAGCGACTTGATCGAAACCCGCGTCGCAGTGGCCGAAAAATGGCTCGTGAGCTGAACATATCGCAATTTTCCATTCGGCAAATATTGAAAAATTAGCTCGGGGTAAAGCCATTGAAATTCCGAGAAGAGCAAGAGCTTACACCGCAACAGAAAGAAAATAGACTAAAAAGAGCTAAAGAGTTGCTTCGCTTGGCCGAAAGTGGCGAACTGCCAAATTTGTGGCGAACTGTCAAACAAACAATATGATAGTGTTTACTTGCCAAAGAGGTCAGCTGAAAATGTGCACCCTCAGTTGGCCACCAGAACTCAAGCGCCGACCATGGTGATGGTGTGGCCCGCCATAACAGCCGATGGTCGCTCTCCGCTCGTATTAATCGACCGTGGCATCAGAATAAATGCCCAACATTATCGCAAAAATATTCTGGAGGGTGTATTAAAACCTTGGTCACGCAACGCCAACAGGACTCAGCACCATCGCACTCATCACGCGCCAGCCAAGAATAGTTACAAAATGAGGTTCTTCGCTTCATTTCCAGCGCAGAATGGCCACCAAAATCTCCGGATACAAATCCGTTGGACGTTGGACTTGGTCTGGAGTATTTTGGAATGCAAGGTTGGCACTAAATAATACAAAAGTTTCGATCACCTCAAGCAAGCGCTTCGCCGGGAATGGGCCCAAATACCGCAGAGCAACATTCGGGCAGCGTGGGACGGTTTCATTGACCGTTTAAAGGCCATAATTCGTGCCAAAGGTGACCAATTCGAACAAATCTAAACATATTCTAAAATGTGATGCTATTTCCGACATTTTTTTCATTCATTCAATAAAATTTGAAAAAAAATGTCAAAATTATGGCGTTTGACTTTGTTGCAGTTTTTTATCTCACCCTGTAGAGTCTATGTTCGTATCCTTAGGACTTATTTTTTACATGTTACAATTAATTCAAGATAACCTCATATCAAATAATAATAATAAATAACAGATATTTATATTGATTAAAGGCCGGTTTACAAATCTGATTTCTGAATATACAACGGAATTATTAATTTTCATCATTTTGACATTAATATATTGTTAAACTTATAATTTGGATAAAATAGTTAAAAGTAATATATTTGGAAATTTTAGGTTCAAGTTTTTATTTTGTTGAGGGTCTGTAATTTCATTTCTTATAGTTTTTTTTTTTTTATAAATATTTATATGTTAATTTTTTTGATTTGATAATAGTGTTCAGAATCATGTTCCAAAGTCTCAGAGTTTGTTTTTTTTCTGTGTTGTTTGTTGTGAATCCTTTGTACCTGCTGAAAAGAAGTATCCTAACATTGTCCTATAATAGATTGAAATATGGCATTGAATGGAAGTTTTATTTTCATTTCGATTCTAAACTAAGCTTCAAAGCATGCAAAATTAGCTTTTGTAACGGAATTTATTCAATGACGGCATGAAAGCAAAAGAAAAATATTTTTGGTTTTTTTAACAAATAATTAAATTTTTTGTTATTCTTTTCTAATGTTAGCATGAAATATCGATTTGAGTTGTCTAATTTTCGGAATTAAATTGAAAGCATATGAAATGAAACATTTGGGGATAATTGTATCTGAAATTGGTGCAAATTTTAAAACACGTGCTTAAATTGGAAATAATTATTTTGAATTCACTTATTTTCAATAATTTCCAGCCCAAATGCGGAACTTACGAGTCGCGAAAAATACTTACTGTTGTAGTTGATTTGAATATATATATTTTTTTTATTCTATGGTATAATTAATTCCTGGTCTCTAAGAAATGTCACTAAACCGTACGTAGGTGCTGCCGCTGTTGGCAGAATTTTTTGAATCAGACAAAAATGTATTTTTCGCACATGATTTGAGAACCTAAGGTATTTTATTTTTTTTTATATAAATTATGTTTTTCCGCGACATATCTCGGCCATTGAAATGGAATAGGGCAAATGTTGTTTATTTTACCAAACCAGATTGGGGATAATCCGCAAAAATCTGATCTATCTGAAAAAATGATTGATTTTGTCACATTTAAACGTTGACTTGGATTTTCAATACCAAAAGTCGACTTACGTATCCTTATTAACTACTTCCCCACAGACATTGAAGTATAAAAGTGGAACATTGCAGAGTTAAAATATTGAGACTTGTTGGGTTGATAACCTTATGGAAAACAATATTATACTCATAATTTCGGTGACCTATAAAGGAGGTTTACCAATTCGTATCTGACCTAAGACTGATAAAAAATATTACAACATGCCAAATTTGGACTATATCGACTACATCCTATACTTTATATGAAATATGTGCAATTTTTTGGATAATGTGGAAATATATGAAGTAACATATATAGCGGACCGAAGTTTTCCATTTTCATACCTCATCTAATGCACATAAAAATAATGGCTTGTGCAATCATGAATCATAAATTCCATATTCACATCAGGTTTCTGATTAAGAGAATTATTTTGGATATAGCAATAATTGTGAGTTGTTTCGCAAGTTATGACAGATATAAGCATTAAAAATTGTGATCCTTTAGGGTGAGTTACCAGAAGGGTTTCGCAGATATATATCATCTTCACAACAGATCTCGCGTTAGCAAAAATATTTGGATGTGTGAAATTTCAAGAGTGTTGGATGCTGAGTTCGCTTTCTTTAGTGTTTTGTTATTCAAAATCTTGAACCCTATGTGGGGGAGTTACCAGAAGAAATGGACAGATCTCTACCATCTTTATAACTGATCTTCTGTTGATGGAAATATTGAGATGTACTAAGTCCGAATGAAATCGGAGATTAATTTCACGTTTCATGAGCTTGATGAATATTCACATTTTTGAACCTTTATGGGGGAGGTACCAGAAGGAGTGGACCGCTATATTCCATTTTCAGACAAGGATTAGTTAAAATATTGTGATGTATTTAATGTGAAGAGAACCGGAGCTTATTTTGGATTTTATGATCGATTGGGTTATTCAAAAATTTGAATCATTGTGGGGGAGGTACCAGAAGGAATGGACCGATCTTTACCATCTTTATGACAGATCTTATGCTTATGGAAATATTGAGATGTGTCATGTCTGAATGGAATCTGATGTTAATTTCGTGTTTTATGAGCTCCATGAACATTCACAATTTTGACCCTTTATGGGGAGGTACCAGAAGGAGTGGACCATTTTCACACCAGACCTTCGGTTAGTAAAAATATTATGAGGTGTGTAATTTAAAGACAATCGGAATCTCACATCACATTTTATAAGAGTTATAATAATTTCAAATATTGACCCGTTTGTGTGGGAGGTACTTGATGGAGTGGAGCGATATTGTCCATTTTCGCACCTGACCTAACACTGATGTAAATATTAGGATTCGCAAAGTTGGAGCAAAATCGGATTATCCTTTCTCTTCTTGTGCAGTAAATAATTTTTTTTGAAAATGTTGACCTTTTGTGTGGGAGTTACCAGAAGGAGTGGACCAATATTACCCGTCTCCGAATTCGATCTAAGTTTGACATTAATATTAAGATGTACCAAGTTTCGATCAAATCGGTTACAACCTTCGAGAGTTATAGTGCGCACCAGCCAGCCAGCCAGACAGACGGACATCGCCTCCAAATGTTCTTAAACGGATTTGGTTCAAGGATACCTGGAGTCTAAAACCATTATTTCGATTTTGTTTTGGCCGTATCAAATGATATATATCCTCTCTAGCCATAGGGCTGAGGGTATAAAACGATGCAGAATGATTGCTTTGAATGCTTAGGTTTACCTCTCTCATAATGGATTCTCCTATTTTTCGGTATTCTGAATTTGCTTAAATAAACAGCATTATTAGTACATACTTTCTTTCATAAACACTATCCCGCACCACTTTCCTCCTTGTCACAATAACATTTTCTGTTATCCTTATTAAACTCCCTGTTTTTCCTCTACACATTTAAAAAGAATGCTATTTATAGACCATTGTTCAAATATAACCTCAAACAGACTAAAAGTATGCTACAATACGCATATGCATGTGTACACAAAAATAAAAAATAGAAACAATATTGGTTTTGAGGATACTGTCAATACGAATCTAATGAACTCCCTATAAAAACAGAATACCATTTCATTTCATTACCTCGACACGTGTGTAACTCTTTTTCTTTTGGGTGTAGAGGAAACTTTTAATATATGTACATTCACACACACACACATATGTAGCAGTGTGTATGTGTATGAGTGGTAACTATGATATTTGATGGAGGGCTCTGTGGTCTGGTAAATACAACTTTCAAAATGCCAAAGTTCCAATCAATGACCGCAAACATTAGGGTGGCTAATAATGCTTGTTGCTTTTTTACGTTTGGGTACAAAGGCTGTAATCTCCTGATTAAGTTCAAGGATGGTAGGAAGGTGTTTGTCGTCCATTAGTCAGTTCATGTGAGGAGTGTTGCTGTATTTGTTATTTTTTTCTTTTTCAAAGTGATTGGATTGTTATCCAAAAAAGCGTGTCCTTTCTATGTATGTGTGTGTGTGTGTCAAGGTATGTATTGTTTTGTGTGTTTGTGTGTGAATGAGCGTGGCAAGAAGTAGTTGTACATGTGTCTGAAATACATTTTGTATCTGTTTTTCTCTTTCACTCATTTATTTTTGTAGTTGTTATTGCAATTGTTGCTCTCTTCTTTTTTTGACGAATAATACTTACTAAAGCTTTTCATTGCCATTTATGTTGTCGAAAATACCGACATAAACGGCGATTATTGAAAATATAACACAGGCCAAGGCCACGGCAGCGAATTTATTAACAAATCTTACACCCAGGAAGACAATTAAACCTATAGGGAAGGGAAGAAGCCCATCGCAGATGCGTGGTGGGGGAAGGGAAAAAAGTCCAAAATAGTATCAGTTATTTGAAACAAAGAAATCAATTCGTGTACCAAAGTGGCAATAATTTCGTATTTTTTTTCTTTTCATTCTTTCAATTTCAATTTACCCATGAAACAGAGCAGTCCAGTGCCGTAAACCCGAAAGTTGTTGTACATGGCATCGGCATCCTTGGTGAAGTCGCCAAATATTGAGGCCCATGGCGCCATGTAAGTCTGTGGGGGGATAGAAAAGAAAAAAAACCATGGAAAACACACATTTTAGGTGTCGGTTTGGAAAAACGGGACACAACACCAAAAATTATATAATAATAATAAGAATAATAATAAAATTAATAATAATAAAAATGATAAAAATAATAATGAGAATAATAATAAAAATAAAGACAATAGTAATAGTAATAATAATAATAAAAATAATAATAACAATAATAATAATAATAATAATAATAATAATAATAATAATAATAATAATAATAATAATAATAATAATAATAATAATAATAATAATAATAATAATAATAATAATAATAATAATAATAATAATAATAATAATAATAATAATAATAATAATAATAATAATAATAATAATAATAATAATAATAATAATAATAATAATAATAATAATAATAATAATAATAATAATAATAATAATAATAATAATAATAATAATAATAATAATAATAATAATAATAATAATAATAATAATAATAATAATAATAATAATAATAATAATAATAATAATAATAATAATAATAATAATAATAATAATAATAATAATAATAATAATAATAATAATAATAACAATAATAATAACAGTAGCAATAATCATAGAGATAATAATAATAACAATATTTTTTAATAATAATAGTTTTGGCAAATTTTATTTTTTCCAATAATGACGGGGAAAATTTAGCAGATAATGAAAGTAGAGCTAAACACGTGTATCAGCGTTTTGAAAACGTCACCGCAAAGTAACTAAAATAAAGGTACGTACTTTTGGAAATTTTCGGAGGCTGTGCAACAATATTGCAGATAAAAATACGAGGAATATTTGGTCGATAATTTTTACCCTTGAGTGAGTTAAAAAGGGATATTTTTGTTTTTTTCCTAAATTTTGATTAAAAACAGCCCTTTAACTGGATCGTAGCATTTTTTTATAAAAACTGTAGTACCTAGACATGGGGTTTATTCTGAGGTTTATAGCGGAATTTTGTATAGAATAATTCTTTTTTTGACACCTTTCGCCTAAAACGGAATTTTATGTTACTTTCCGGCGTTAGCTACAAAAAAGTCCGAGGAAAAATGGTTAAAAAATTGGACGTGTTTTCGCTTTTTTTGGAACATTGAATCAAATATTTATTTGATATACCATGGAATTAGAGACTTCCTTTTCTTTGGTGACTTAGAGTAAAATTAGATAGTGAATATTTTTGTGTTTGACGTCATCCTTCAGAAAAAGAGGCTTTCTTGGAGATTTTTGCACAAACTGACACATAGTACGGCTTCAACCCCAAAATGTCTTTTTAAAATTTAAATGAATTCTTGGCGTTTAGATAAGATATAGGCTTTTGTCGTCTTCTAGGACCTATCGTAGAATTCTATGAAAAATAATTTTGTAAAATATTTTAACTTGCTATGATGCTGTTTACAAGGAGTTTTAAAACATATTTTAAAAATCGGACCAAAAAAACCCCTTTTGTTGACTTAAGGCTTAAATTTTTGAGCAATGTATTGCACGTATTTTCTTCTGCAATGTTGCCTAATACACTTTATACCAAAAATACGTAGATTCTAGAATTCTTTGATCGAAAATATTCAAAAAGTGTGGTAATTGCCCCGCTTTAGGTCATACGTGCCTTCTTTTTAGCTCTACTTTCATAAACTTCTGGATTTTTTCCCGTAATTAATAAATTTGTCCTGCAAAAAAACCTTAAAAACGGCGAACTCACCAGGACAATTTCAACAGCACCCACAATGTACATGGCAGCCGCTAAAGTTGTACCCGTATAAAACAGCATTCCCACAGCACCGCCAAATTCAGGACCCAGGGATCTGAAAATGATAAGGAAATTATTAAAAATTATTGAAAAGTAATCAAAGTATAAATTAAAAAAAAATATTGGTTCTCAATTATGACCCCAACCGGGTTGACCTCAAAATCCCTAAAATTTGAGGATAGGTGTGACTGGAATCTTCAACAAACTAATAACTTGGAGGCATTCCATGTCAAATAATGCAATTGCAGCCACTTTGGCTTTAAGATATGGCTGGGGCCTTTAAATAGCTTTAAATCTATTAGCAAATCTCCATGGTACTTATGCCAATATGAGAAAATATATAGATCGAATTTTATTTAAGGACAGCTGCATTAGCCGTCCTTTGGGGGCTATAACCAAACGTGGGATCATCCTAGATACCTTCCATACAAATCTTGATTTCAACAGATACAGACAGACAAATCGACAAAGGAATCGACTTAGAATTTTATTTTGACCAAGAATATACATTATTGGGTCATCCGACGAATAATTCCGGGCGTGGTAAGCAACTTCCGTTAAAAGGTAAAGGTTTTATACCCGATTTTTAAACAATTCGAAAACGTCAATTTTTAATTTATGATCCACGGGACGAAAATTGAAATAGTTGTCGAATTGAGACCCTCGGCCAAATGAAAGGTGCTGAAAAGAACTCTTGGAAGAATTATGCCTTTTACACCAAAATTAGCAGTAAATGTCGGATTTTTACTAATTTTTACTTTTGGAAAATCCATTTTTTTCGAAAATTTCCTAAGAAATTGCTCTGAAATTGTATAAATAGCCACTAAATGAGTCCATTTTGCTTAGAAATGACTTATTTTCAACGGATTCATGTGGATTTGTAACTTTTGTATACCCTCCACCATAGAATGGAGGGTATATTAAGATGGTTAAGCCGTTTGTAACACCTCGAAATATACATTTCAGACCCCACAGCATAGAATTCTTTGTCGATTTAACGATGACCGTCCGTCCGCCCGTCTGTGGAAATCACTCTAGCTTTCGAACGAAATGAAGTAGGTTGCTAAAATTTTACTCAAATGTATATTATGTCTGCAGGACTTTTGGTATTGAAAATGGGCTATGTAGGTCCACGTTTTGGTATAGTCTCCACATAATGGTACCTCCCTATTTTCGATATTTTGATTATTTTGGCGACATTATCCGCCGGAATTGTTATAAATTTGGTATTTGATGTTCTTAATGGGTACTACAGCCGATGGCAGAAAATTGTCTGTGCAGGTCCACGTCTTCGTATAGCCCCCATATAACAGTACCTCCCGATATTCGGTATTTTGATGAGTTTAGCGACATTATTCATCGGAATTGCGTCAAATTTTGTATTTGAAGTTCTTACTGTATACTACAGCCTATGACAGAAAATTGTCTGTGCAGGTCCACGTTTTGATAAAGCCTCCATATAATGGTACCTCTCTATATCCGCTATTTTGATGATTTTATCTACATTATTCACCATTTTTTTTTTTAAGTTTCGCCTTTGAATATTGTAATGTCTTATGACAAAAGTTGCCTACGCAGGTCCACGTCGTCGTATAGACCCTCATATAACGGCTACATTTGGCATTTTTAAGATTTTTACAGATTTTTTAGACGGATTTTTAATTTTTTTTTTTAACTTTGCCAAATTCGTTCCAAATGGTGGAGGATATTCAAATTTTGGCCCAGCCGAACTTGAAGATTTTTTTTTGAGTCTTAAACGATAATTTAAGTTCCCAACTTAAATTCAATATTGAAAACCACTTATGTAGTGCCATTTTTTGGACACCACTGATTTACAACTACTACTACTACAAAAAAGCAGAAGTGTTTGTTATTTCTTCTAATGACAGGGTGATTAGGCATGTTCAATGCAAAACTAACAAAAACAACAACAAAAAAATATTTAATATAACTGCCATTAGCCCCCCCAGTAAATACATAAAAATCTACTTACCTTGATATCATGAAATAACTGCCTCCCGCCGGCACCACTCCATTTGTTGCAATAGCCGACATTGAAATCGCCGTTAACATAGTCTAGATTTTTTACAAAAAAAAAAAAGAAACGATAGCAACAACAACAGCAGCAAAGAACAATAGAAAATTATTATTTATTTTAATTACACATATTCCATCCACAAGCTGGCGGACAAGCTGAACGAACAACAAAAGCCTCTTAAGTAGCTGTTCAGTAGTGGGCCCAGTTGTGGGTGGAGGGGATAATTATGTTACACGTATGTATGTCGGTATGTAAAACAAGAAGAGACCGTGGAGAGGGGTACTTACCACACAACAACAAGTCAGGACAATCAGAAAGCCACATACCGCACCAGCCGTACCAACAACCCATGTCAGACGAATGAACAAAATGACACCGAAGATATTTTGAATGCATGGCAAGAAGACACCAATCAGGGTTCCTGGAAGAAGGTGGTTACGAAAAAAAAGAAAGAAAAACAATTAAATTGGGGTACCTTGAAAAGGACAAAAAAAAATTAGATGCAGATATGTTCGAACATTGACAAAAGCAAAACACCAAGAGAATTAATATCAGTTCCTTAGGTTTAATAAAAATTGAGATTCTCAATTTCCCATCATCCTTTTACTCCCAATTGAATCTGCTTTCAGGTGGCACATCATCTTTTGAGTTCCTCCGTTTCTGTTCATGGCATCAACATCAAAATCTGACAAATTTCGAACTGCGTTGTTGTTTTTGTTAGACCAATTTCGTCGTCTTACGGGACGACGACGACGTCGACGACAAATTGCCATCTCGTTGCTTTTTATGAAAAAGTCATAAATTTCACCATTGACGACATTTGATTTATGGATCTCTTTGTGTAAATTCGCCTCGACTCTCTCACAACGCCTGTTATTGACGTTTTGTTAAATTGCCTTCATTGCCTACCAGCCGGGTTCCAAAATTAGCCGGGGACTGGTGAATGGACGGTTAAAAAGAATTAATAGCTGTAGACATTGGCGGTGGCGACCTTTCCTCAGAACGACAATTTCGACAATTATACGAACATGCATGAATATAAATAGATATGTATGTGTGTGCATGTGTCTCAGTCGGATTTATTTTTAAAATTATCAGGAGGTATACTGAGGTGGTAGTTATGGAGCTTTATTTGAAGAAAAATACGAAAAAGATGCTTTGCTTTAAGGATAACACAAATTTGGATGCCTCAGTAGGACAATTTCCCTGCTCTGATTGGCTGATTTTTTTTGAAGGATTCGAAGTTGTCAGTTTTCTCATTTTTGGGACAAAACAGTTACCTCAGTTCTAAATACACGATCCGCTCTTTAACGGATTTCACCTCTTATGTAACTGTTCTCAGATAATTTATCATTAAAATCTACATGTATATACCTCTTGAAGTTGATTCTGTTCCTAATTCCAAATGAACTTCCCACTTTCAGTGAGAAATATATGGTGAGCCCGCACTTTTTTAATCGTGAAAGAGAGAAAATAAATTTCAAAATTGCTCTGATCGCTCTACGCGTGCCAGAAAGTACGAAAGGGATCGGAAACCTAGTAAAAATGGCAATTTTTCAAAGTAAATTTTTCGGCCAAGTTTGTCTGGTAAAAAAGGGACCGTCAAACTGGAGGCTCAGTATGTGGCGTAAAAATACACTAGGGGGTATTTTTATAAACCAATGGAAGATTTTTGTCCCCTGCCGATATTTTTACTCATGGGAGTATCAATTTTTTGATATTTGATGTTATTTCCATGGAAAATATTCCGCGATTTCCAAAGTGAAATCATGGAAGGAGTCCTAAAATCACTCAACACGGGGTCCACAAGGAAGGAATTCTAGATTCTTGTGTTCACCAATATTTCTGATTAAATGATCGGGAAATTGTGTGTGATTGAGTATACAGGTATCCTTCAGAATCTGTCAAGGGATATAAAACCAGCACTGACTACCTGTCTTAATTTTAAAGGTAATATTCAGCAGTAGATTTTCTCGTATGGGCCAAAATCTTGTGGCGCACCTCTCCAAGAAGAGTTTCGTACTATTATTGGAGTTTTTTTCTCAGAGTAAAGAAATATACGGACCGCATTTGTGACGATGACCTTGAATATATGATAAAAAGTAAACGAGTTCTCGTCAGAATAGAATCTGCTCAATTTCGAGGGAATTTTACTCCCACTCAAAAATTAACAAAACATGCTCTCTTATTCGAGTGACATCGAAAAATAGAGAATGTTCTATGGTTTCCTACTCCCAATAGTAATCGCATCCGAATTGAAGTAGAGGATTCGCATTTCGCATGTTTGAGTTTTTTTTTCTCAGAGAAAAGAAACATATGGATCGTTTAAACGGTCCCAGCAGATTGGAGACAATGCACTTCAATGTATTACAAAAACTAAACTCACGAGTAGAAGCTGCTCAATTTCGAGCGAAAATGAACAAAACATGATCTCTCTTATTCGAGCGACATCGTAAAATAGAGTATGCTCGTTGCTTACTTACTCCCAGTAGTGCTCTCGCTTGAATTCGAGCAGAGAGTGGACTTTGTATTTCGAAGGTATGATTTCAAAATGTTCTTCTATCCATTTATATAAGTTGACTAAAATCGATATAACATTACAAAATTCGATTCAATATTTTTGGGGGGGGGGGGGGTAAGATCTGCTAACTGTTTTTATACCCTCCACCATATGGCACCACCATACCCTTCCAGTAGACAGGTTAAATTCGTAAATGGGCCATGTCGGTCCACTTTTTCGTAAAGCTCCCATATCGGTATTTCAGCAATGTTATTCACTGGAATCGTTTCAAATTTCGAATTGGAATATCTTAATGGGTACTACAACCTATGGCAAAACATTTCGTATGAAGATTCACGTCTTCGTATAGCTCCCATATGGTGGTACCTCCCTTTTTCGGTATTTTCATGATTTTAGCGGCATTATTAACCGGAATTGTTTCAAATTTCGTATTTGAAGTTCGTAATGGGTACTATCCTATGACAAAAAATTTCGTATGCTGGACCACGTCTTCGTATGGTACCCACATAACGGTTTTCATTTAAGTGGTAGTTTTCGGATTTTTTTTTTAAATTTTTCAAGTTTCTCCAAATGGTGGAGGGTATTACAAATTTATCCCGGGCGAACTTAGCTGCTTTTTTACTTTACTCCCATCCTTGACTTTGAATATTCCAATAAACATTTTATCCATATGGTTGCATTAAAAACCGCCACCGCCACCACTCTAACGTCAGGTGGATGTCGGACCCTTACTAAGTATACAAAATACAAATATTTTTGGAAATTAGGCGGAAAATGTGGGTATATCGACAACAAATATTTTAAATCGGGATAATGGTATATCCCGATAGGGAGACTATGGCCATAAAAATTAATCTATCAAAACATCTGATATCTCGTTCCATAAATAATATTTCGAAGTATAGAGCATTATATTGGAGATTGGTTAAGGTTATGTATAAAGGACTTTCATACCAATACCCTTTCATATTCAATACCCTTTTCGATGACTTTTGAGGCATTTTACCATAATTGCTTTCGGATATTAGAAATATCCTTTCGCATTATTTAAATTCAGTACTTTTGGTTCTCAACCCCCTCTTCATAAAAATGTAAATATCGGAATATATTTAAAAAGGTTCCCAGCCTATATAAAACTGAGGTCTTTGGAAGGGTGCAGGGAAGGCTATTATTATTTTTTATGAAATAGATTCTTTAGTATAATTTAGGCTAGTTTTTCATGCATATGTATAAGTGATATGGTGGTCGCCACCTACATGCTCTGTTGGGTAAAGCTTCCTCTCACGTGCTCAATTATTAATTTATATCATTCACATGAGTCTTCCCAATCTCTTTTAATCTCTAATTGATTAGTTTTTTCCAAATCCCCCTACACTTATTTCATTGTTTAGCATCATTTTCCTAATAAATAATTAATAATTGGCCAACAACATAATCAATTCCAAATCTTTTAGCATCTAAGCCACAGCAAGTTGGTAATTGACAGATTTGCTCTATTTTTAGATGGAATAAACAAAATAATTTTCTCAAATTGCCAAAAAACCAAAGTCTGCACCTCACATGTTTCTCTTCTTAGCCATAAAATTATTTAGCAACTTTGAAAATGAAGACGCGTTCGAGTACAAATCGAAAGTCACGTTTCTTTTATGACAGCTGTCGTACAAGTCGACAATGTGGGTGGAGGAACTGGATGGAGTTGTCGCCTCTGCTGCTGCTGGTGCAGGTCATATGAAAGTCGTTGTTTCCTAATTTTCAGGTTTCTTGGTTTTATTGCCCAGATCTTTTGGCCTGTCATAAAATAATATGTGCTTAAACGTGGGGGTGGGGTTGAATGTATATAAAAGTATATTTTATCACATGCTGACTAAATGCTCGTCTTGGCTGCTGCTGGCATGACTTTTATCACATGATAATATCTGCCTTGGATGGGATGATGATGATGATTCGTCGTAACTTTACTACTTACCCATACGCGCTGAAGGCGCCGGTGCCTTAGCATCTGGATCGGTGGCAGCAGGTATGGTATTCTCATAATTGGCGAGTGAAGATATAAACGTCGATATATGCGGCCTCGTCTCCAAGTCATCATCGTATAAATATAAGTTGGGTTCTTTATTTGGTTTTTCGTTGTTTTCTTCTACGGTTTCGACATCACATTTTTCTGAAAGACAGAGAGGAAAGAAAAACAGGGAAATATATCCATTATAATAAGCTGTTATGTGAATGTCATAAAAATAAATAAATCAAGCAAATAAAATGCTTTGGAAAAAAAGAATAATTGGAGGGAATCCGATTAATATCTATGAAAGGGAAAATTACACATTCAAGGGGAGGAGGGGGTTTTATATCAGCATATAAAGTAAATAATTTGGTGGAAGACACAGTTGGTGGGAGGAGAAGTGGGGGTTGGGTGTATTTTTTCTTTAAAATTTCACTCTCCACTTTCCTTTCAACCTGATTTTCCTCAATGCTCATAATTAAATATGAAAATGGAATAAGGTATTAGAAAAATAATCTCATATAGGAAGACATTTGGGACTACCATAAATCTGCTGCTGGAACATGGAGATGGATGTCTGTGTAAAGCTCATGGAGAGTATTACAGATTGACATTTTCCAAATTATATTCTAAATTGGCTGTAATTTCGCATTTGGGGAATCGTAGTGAGTAACAAACATCCTTGCACTTGACGGAATAGGCAATAATGCCGTTAACGCCTAAATTAGTTTAGATCTATTTCCCGTTTCATAACGAATTGTTGAAGACATTCCCGTGATGGATTCAGGTTTTTGCAATGGTCTCATGATGCGGTAGTAGACCAGCTTTGTCCGTTGTGTCTAAGCTATATTTTCAGCTATCAGGTGTAAGCTATATTTTCAACGAATGTGCTAATACATTTAATATTATTTAGGCATTAAAAATGCGGTCTTTATGTATACCCGCTATTGAAAACGAAATAATGAAACCCATTTTGCCATGTCAAAATTCTAAAAAACAATGTAAAAAACACACTAAACATGGGCAATCATTTGCACAATGTATCGGTTCCATAGTTCTGAATTCGAGCGGCAGTAATACTCCGAAAACATAGAAAATGATCATATTTTTCTATGCCACTCGAATAAGAGCGAGTAGGCTTTGCTTTGTCGCCCAAAATCGAGCAGATTCTACTCTTATTGAATACTTCATTATTTTCTGTCATACCGTTGTTTTATTGGCATCTGAACCAACAAAACATATGATAGTGTTGTTGTTGTTTTTGTGCAACGACCGGCCCCCCCTTGCTTCAATTTTTCTTCTCTTCTAGGATTCTGTACACGATCTACCTCCACCTCTCTAGTCGATAGCTACATCAATACCTGTTTTCTACTAAAAAGACACACGAGCTAACAAATTTGTTCATCCTCGATTTAACTCTGCGAGTAAACTCTTACTATAATTCGAATATTTCGATTCTCTCACTACTTTTTAAACAGGAGTAACTAGCAACTGCTTCCATATCTAACAAAAGAGTGGAGAGTAAACTTCGTGTAAAACTCCTACTCTTTGAAAACTCCCTTTCGCTTGTCCGCCAAGATAAATTTAATTAGCAAAGACACCAACCAGAGTGATTTTTTCTCCGGTTAAGAACGAGTTAATAAAAAGAGTAAACCAGAGAAAAACAAGTAAAAAATAAGCTAAGTTCGGTCGGGCCGAACTTTTAATACCCTCCAACATTAGGAAGGAAATTAAAAATTTTCAAAAAAATCCGAAAACTACTACTAATTTGAAAACCGTTATATGGGGACCATACGAAGACGTGGACCTGGTTAGGAAAATTTTTGTTATATGCTGTAGTATCCATTACGTACTTCAAATATGAAATTTGAAACAGTTCCAATGAATAACGTTGCTAAAATCATCAAACAACCGAATATCGGGAGGTTCCGTTATATGGGGGCTATACGAAGACGTGGACCTGCATACGAACATTTTTGCCATAGGTTGCAGTACCCATTACGAACTTTAAATACCAAATTTGAAACAATTCCGGTAAATAACATCGCTAAAATCATGAAAATACCGAATATCGGGAGGTACGATTATATGGGGGCTATACGAAGACGTGAACTTGCACAGACAATTTTCCGTCATAGGCTGTAGTATACATTACGAACTTCAAATACCAAATTTGAAAAAAAGTTTGAAACCCTTAACCCTACAGAATATAGGATTTAAAAATGAAGCGGTGTTGAAGCTTGGCACAAATGATCTCTAGGAGTACTTTCCGAATATATGGCATTTATACACAAAAAACTTCAGAACTTTTCGTACTTTCAGAAAAGTTATCGCTTAATTTGAGGGAAATTACAGATAAAAGGGTCCACCGGACGGAAACTAAAAATGAAGCGGTGTTAGGGCAGGGCACAAATGAAAGATTTTTTTATCTGTAATTTCACTAAAATTAAGCGATAATCTTTCAGAAAATTCGAAAAATGCCTAAGTCTGTATTTCTTTTTGCCTATAAGGTCCCTATATATTTGGAAAGGACCAAAATCCCGCTTCGTATTTAAATCCTATATTCTGGGTTTAACAGTAGAGTTAAGGGTTTCAAGCTTTTTCAACGTAATTTGTATTATGTTAAAGCGATTTCTTTGTAAATTTCAAATTTGTAAGGAAAATTTTGAAATTTGATAAAAACTAGAATAAATTAAAATACCTTTAATTTTTCTCTGGTTTACCAGTTCTCTCTCTCTTTATTAACACTTTCTGAAGCAGTGAAAAATCTCATTGGTTTGTGTCTTTGCTAAATCAATGTTTAATTTGTCTTGCTTCATTCTCGAGTGAAATCTAAAAAATCTAGGCTCAGATAGAATTTATTTTCTTAACACAACAAAATCAGCTCTTAAGCAAAATCCCACATTTCCCAGTTGCGGACCTAATTGTGCTCGTCCATTCTAAGTTCCCACTGTTTTTACTTATTTTCCAGATTCGAGTATAAATTTCTTTAATTTCTCATCATTACATTTCTGAATACTCATGGATGTATAATAAAATTGTTGTTTTCAGACTTTTGGTGATCTTTTACAACTCAAACTATTTGTTGTTAGTGTATTACACCCACATACACATGTAATATTTTTATTATTTTGGTACGTCAAGGTGACTGATTCCGATGACAAATTTTGCACAGTTACATAAATCTCTATTGGTATTATGAACGCACACATACACACATGTATATGTATATATGTTTACATGAATGCGTGTGTATATTTTCGCACATTAGAAATGGGTCTAAAAAAAATCTCACACCGCCATTACTGGTATAGCCCAACGACCCTGATGAAAAACAACGCCAGTCGCCTTTTTAACGGGACATTATAATGCGATGTGTTGTTGTTAATAAGAAACTTTAAGTATCAGGCGATGATGGTCTCTGCAGTTGTTGTTGGCGTTGTTTTTATTGTCGCTGTTGTTGTTGTTGTTGTTAATGTGTACAAAACAGATCAAAAATTGTGTCGTGCTATTTTCACATATGTACGTATACTCGACATACATACGTATGTTTATTGCACAAACACACACACACACACATCATAATAATAATCACGGCGACTAACAATAGCGAAAGGACGAACTACAGACACAGACACACTCATGTCCTCCATGTCCCGACGACACGCTTGTCTGTTTTATGTGCGAAATGAATGGCAACATGCATGCAAATGTAGTTGAATATGGGAAAAGAAATACAAAACAAGAAGAAGAAGAAGACGAAGAAGCGGAATAACAACAACAACAGCAACAATCTGTAACACAAATAACACCTAACTAACTTGTTTTTCATCTTTCGCTCTTCCATTGCTCTCAAATCCATCCAAATGGTGTAATAAAAAGGCATTCCTTTGTATTTATGTGTATGTAGGTGTGTGTTTACATATATACACACATATAAATAGCGGAATTGTATGATTGTATCATAATTTCCATTTACAAAAATACATTTGCATATTGAATAATGCAAGGTATTTTTGGGGGGAGTTTTTCAACACTTTGTGGGTTATAAGTTCTCCCCATGAATGTGCTCCAAATTGTAGCCATCCATGGAATTGAAGCGTGTTAACCCTCTTATCCACTGACCAAATCCGAAGTGTTTTAATTTATCTCCTCGGAAAAATATCTCCCTGATCACCAATTACAAGGGAAGAGAAGCATTGAAAAATGCAAAAACAGGGAGTTAAGACTTCAGGATACATACGACTGCACGAGACTTGACACACATTATTTCAAATCAAACCAGGCTAAGCTGAATAGTGCAAACCCAGCAGCTTTGGTTCTGTATTTGATGCGTCATAAACAACCCGGTTGCACGAAAGGCAGATATGTTATTTGCGAGTGGAACTTGCCGTCAGCGAAAGTGTTCGAAGACTGCGAATTTTATACGAAGTTTCGTCTTGACAATTTTTTTTTTTTTTTGTAGAAGTGCTCTCTTGTTACTCCTTTTTGAGAAAAGCAGAGTGGGAGTCCAAATCCCCTAAATAGAGTAGGAGTTTACTCTAAGAATGAAATCTAGTGATCAAATTTGGCTGACTTGTGTGTTTAGTAGCCATTTGACTTAACTAACTAATTTTACCATCTCTTCAGATTTTGTTAAAATTCTCTCTTCTATTGTAATGTTTTGTTTTAATTCAAAAAATCATTTTTTACTTATTTTAATTTAAAATATACAAGCGTACACCTATAAAACAAAAAGTTATCAAAAAACAATTTTAAATAAACATTTTGGTAAAATTATGTGGTGGTAAAATTTGCAAACACGTCATGAAATACGTCCCAAAATTTCACCTCGACAATTAAAGGTTAAGTTGCTGGGGGTTGGAGGAGAGGCAGCCAAGAAAGAAACAGAAGAAGCAAGGGCCGTTAGATGTTATGCACAAAAACAATAACCCTATCAAATGCTCTATTTTTACAAATTTGCGACAATACTCTTCATTTGCTTTTGTTTAGTTTACAGCTGTGGGTTTTAAGTGAGTACTCGATAAGAGAAGAATTTACTCGAATTTTAATCCTCGTGAAAACGAGCAAAGCATGCTCGTTCTTGTTCGCGTGACATCGAATAATAAAGAATTCTCGATTTTTTTCTACTCCTTAAAGTTCTCCCGCTCCAATTCGAGTAA